GATCCAACCATTTTGGAGAACAATTTGGAACTATGCCAAAGGGCTACAAAAATGTGCATACCCTTTGATCCAGCAATAGCGCTTCTAGGGCTATATCCCTAAGAGATCAAACAAATGGGAAAAGGACCCACATGTACAAAAATATTCATAGCAGCTCTTTCTGTGGTGGCAAAGAATTGGAAATTGAGGGGATGCCCATCAATTGGGGAATGGCTGAGCATGTTGTGGTATATGAATGTAATGGAATACTATTGTGCTATAAGAAATGATGAACAGACTAACTTCAAAAAAACCTGGAAAGACTTATATGGTCTGATGCTGAGTGAAGTGAGCAGAACCAAGAGGACTTTGTACACAATAACAGCCACATTACGCGATGACTAATATTGTTAAACTGACCCCTTCTCAGCATTATGAGGATCTAAGACATCTCCAGAGGCCTCAGGATGGAAAATGCTGTCCACATCCAAAGAAAGAACTATGGAAGTCATATCACTATCACTTATTTTTACCTTCTGTTGAGTTTTATTTCATCTTTCTGATGGTTCCTCCTATTGGTTTTAATATTTACTTACAATTCACTAATGTGAAAATATGTTTAATAGGAATGCAAATGTAAAGCCTATATCAGATTGTGCCGCGTCTTGGGGAGGGTGGGGAGGAGGAAGGGTGAGAAAAATTTTCAACTCAAAAGCATATGGAAGTGATTGTTGATAAATGAAAATAAATTAATAAAATTTTTACAAAAGAGAGAGAGAGAAAGGGCCTTTAGATTCAGCAATTCATTATCTGTAGTTTGGCATTATGGCAGAATGAAAAGAGAGCTGGCCTCAGAACCAGGGAGACATAATTTCAAGCCCTGCCTTTAACCTTATATTGCCTGTGTGATCCTGAGAAAGTCACTTCACCAAATGGCTTCTCTGGTAACTCTATGAAGCCTCTTAAGTTGCAAAGAAGATGCCATCAGAATTTGCATCTAACCTGTGTCCTATCCCTACTAAGGAAGCCCTGGGAAATGAGGAGCTCAGAGAGGAAGCAGAATATTTTGTCTGAGAATTGGCAATGCTTGACCACGTGCGAATGACCCCAGTCACTCTGCCCTGATGGGCTAAGATGTTTCAGGGAAGTAGAATTGTTTGGATAGCTCTTTATGGGAAACTGGAAGCCCCATTAGATTAGAATGGATGGGATGGCATCAGGGAAGAGACAAAATACTGCTTTATACCATTTTTTTATCTGCACTGGACCTGTATAGGGAACTCCCAGGGAAGACTGCCCTCCACCAACGGGGACCTTTCAGTCTTAGAGAAATGCCACTGAAATGGTCCAATTGGACTGTCAGTAATTGCTGCTGCTGCTGACTTGTTTCAGTCATGCCCCACTCCTCATGACCCCATTTATGGTTTTCTTGGCAAAAATTCTAGAGTGGTTTGCCATTTCCTTCTCTGGCTCATTTTACAGAGGAGGAAACTGAGTCAAACAGGATTAAGTGACTCGCCCAGGGTCACACAGCTAGTAAATGTCAGAGGTCAGATTTGAACCTTCCTGACTCCAGGCCTGGTGCTCTTTGCACTATGGCTCCCCCTACCTGCCTCCCCGTTGGACTACTACATGCCTACAACACAACAAAGCCCCAAAATGACAACGGCGGCTGACATTGCTCTAGTGCCGTGAGGTTTGCAGAGCGCTTCACAGACATTTACTCATGGGACCCTTACAACAACTTTTTGAAATAAGCGCTATTATTAGACCCATTTCACAGATAAGGAAAATGAAAGTTAGGGAGGTTAAGTCATGCAACCAGTAAATTACAGAACTGGGGTTAGAACCAAGATCTTTCTGTGTCTCAGCCCAGAATTCTAACCACAACATCACGCTCAATGGTCATCCCTCTCAGAGATGCACTGACACTTTTATAAAGAGAGCTATAAAACCCAGAGAGCCTACAACTTAACTATTTTTAAAAATCTAAAAAGGAGCATTTCTAAATATTCACTTAAAAATACTTTTAACCTGCAGTAATACTTTGAGACAAAAAAGTTGATCCCGTGCACCTGTGCTTATTCAGACATCCACACTGATCACATGATACACGCAGTGGAACTCTCCAACAGTGAGAAAACATCCTGTCCCTCTCCTCTCCACCACCATCTTGTGTTTGTCATGGTGATGTAGTTAGCTTCTTACCTCGTCACTTTCTGAACAGATTGAGAAGCATCTACTTTTCTTCTTTCCTGTCATGACTAGGCTTCCAAATCTACTCGTTTTTAAATTAAAAAAAATAAATAAACAAGAGCAACAAAAACCTATCTCTCTCTTTCTGTCCATGAGGCAGGCAGGTCAGGGCAATGATGGCTGAGTTGTTTGTTTGTTTGTTTGTTTCCAAGCCAAGCACTCCCGAATGGGCACGACTATCTCAGAACAGTGATGCTGCCTTATCTCCCCACAGGATATCCAACAGGGATCTTCATTCAGAGACAATCCACAGAACTCATCAAGTTTCCTTTCCTCCTATTTACTTCATAGTCAATTTCTCAGGCACTGAAGAGAATTTCACAAGCACCAACCCATTTCCATGCTGCCCCTAGTTAGATGACTCTAGAAAACACATATTTGGAGTTTCATTTAACCTGAGATATCAAAAACTTTCCTGGGTTGGGGTCCATGAGAAAGTGAGATCGTCAACTTGTGCCCTTAGAGATCAGAGCTTACTCAAGAACTAATACACTTGCATGCATGGATAGATTTTATATAGTTATATTTTTCAAGTTATACATAAATATTGATACTGATATGAAAAACAGACCTTCTGGGCATGGAGGTGTGGGGAGCAGGGCTCAACTCTACCTCAGCTCCTCTGAAATAAAATCCTTTATTAAACGCAGACCTTCTATTCATGTAATCTTACAGGAACATTGGAAATCGTCAGTCAAGGGCAGCAGAACCTCACTTCCTCGGAACATAATTACCCAACTAATACTTAATTTTGACACTTTAGTTGACATTTTAAAAACCGCAGAATGGATGTTACTCTGGGAAACATACAAGAAGGAGTGTGACATGATGACCAGATGCTTGGGCTTGGCTTCTGGGAGACTTGGTTTCCAATTCTGCCTCTGACATATATTAGCTGCGCATCCTGGGCAACTCACTTAACTGTTCTGGGTTTGGGAGACTGATGAAGCAGAACTCTGATCCTCTTACTGTTGTAAGATTTCCCTTCCATTCTTAAAGCCTTTGTTCACATTGTTATGCTTCTCCTTTCTTTGCCTCGCATTGGTTCATGGAAGACTTCCCACATTTCTCTGGATTCTTCAGTCACCATTTCTTCTAACACAATATTATGTAGAGGACGACAGGATCACAGATGTAGAACTCAAAGGGACAGTGGAGATCACTGGGTCTAACTCCCTCATTTTACAGTTGAGGAAAATGAGGTGTCAAGAGACAGACTATCTGAGGAGCCAAGACATGAGGTGACTTGTCCAAGGTCACATAGCTAGAAAGGATCTGAGGTGGCATTTGAAACCAAGTCTTCCTCACTCCAAGTACGGCACCTAACTGTTATACTATGTTGCTTTTATTACATTCTAATAATAATAACTCACATTCATATAGCAGCTTTGTTTGCAAAGTACTTTATGTACTCACCACGACCTTGTGTGGTAGGTACTATTATTATGCCTATTTTATGTGTGGGCAAACTGAGGCTCAGGGAAATAAAATGGCCTGCCTAGGATCACGTAGCTAGTAAACGTCCCAGGCAAGATTCAAACTCAGGTCTTGCTGACTTAGAATCCTGCTTTCTATCCACCATCCAATACAAATCCCATCCAGTACAGTTGGCTCAGCCACTCCCCAATCAATGGGATGCAGAGATTATATGGATAATTAGCCATGGTTTGCAGGTGAAGACACTGATGTGGCCAAGGTCCAATAAATAGGAAGAGACCCAGTCAGGGCTTGGACTCACAATTTTCCTACTTTATATCTGAAAGTTAGACCTCAAAACCTGCAGCATGGCAGGGGAGGGGGAGTGTCCAAAGTTTATAGCCTGAGGAAGGTCCACCAAGGAGATTGGACACACTGGAGACTTTCCTCCCTTTCTCCGCACAGTGGGAAAGAACAGTGAAGCAGTCAGGCTGCCCATCTGCCATTCTGGCCCTCATTATATAATTAGCTCATCTCTTTTCCCTTTAAGACACATCCCAAAGATATGTGTGACACTGTGATAGAGTCCACTGTATAACTAGACCCAAAAAATTCCTTTAAAATATTTCAACCAAATCTTTGTACAACTTTGTTTTTTAGATCTCCAGTGAAGAAGAACCCACCACCTCCTGAAAGGATAAGTTCCTTCAACTCTCTCTTCCCTGGCCACCTTCTCTACATCCTCCTGGTCAATTTCCTTTTTGCTTTGCTTCTACTCTTTTCTCCCCAATCCCTTCCCTCTCCCCCAACCTTCCTTCCTTCAGTTCTAGAACCACGCACCATGATCAACTCTCCATTGTCCTAGAAGGGGCCTGTCTGTCTCTTTCACAGAGGACACACACATCATTCTGATAAATTTTTGGAACAAAGAATTCCTCCCTCACCACCATTGCCTTGTTTTCCCCATGAAAATGTAAGTTCCTTGAGCACAGCGTCTTTTTTTTTAATTTTTTATTTGTATCTCCAGCCCTAAGCACAGTGATTTGTACACAATAAATTCTTTTCTTATTCATTGTTCTCTATATGGCACAGAGTCTAGGCCCCTCTCCATCCTGCTCACTCTCCTCTGGATGCCTTACAATTTGTCATCACCCTTCCTAATATGTGGGCTCAGCACAATTGATGGCACACTGACCACCTGGCTCGTAGGCACTGAACAGCAGCTGGACATTTGGAAGGCTTCTTGATAAATCTTCAGTTTGGACATTTGTCCAAGACTGCTCCATGCGCTCAGTGTCATCTGGACACCACTCCCTTCACTGGGCACCAGGGGCCTCCTCTTTCCTTACCTCGCACTTGCTCAGGAGTCCTGTTTCTTGTAGGCGTGACCAGATGCTCTGTATCCTCCCAGCGTGCTCAGGATGAAGGGCGGCGCGGCCGCAAACGCACTGGTGCTTCAGCATCAGAGCGTCATACACCACACCTTCCACAGGAAAAAAACACAGCAAGCACAAATTAGGGAACCCTGCCTAGGAATGCCTTTCCATACTTCTGGGGTCTGGAATTTCAGCAGTTATGTATGGGGGAAGTGGCAGTGAGCTGGGGTGGGGGGGTCCTCCATCAGTGAAGATCACAGCTCCATCGACAGCCAAAGAGATGGTCTCCCAGCAGCCAAAAACTCATTTGGGTTGTAGACCTAGAGCTGGAAGGCTCTCAGCCACTCTGTAGAACAATCCCTTCATGTTATAGTTGAGGAATCTGAGATCCTGGGAGGTTGTGACTTGCCCAAGAAGAGAGGCAGGATTTGAATCCTCCTGACCCAGGGCTCTTCCCATGGTGATGAGTGGTTCTAAGTTTAGTTAGGCTGGGCCTTGGCTCAGAGACCTATGCCTCATCCCTCAAGCTCTATTTGAAGTCTCATCAGATCAGGAGCAAAGGCAAATCAAGGCCACAATTAATTGAGTACCTACTATGTGCCAGGAACTTTGTCAAAGCTTGGATTCTCCTGAAGTAGCCTTAAGGACAATAAGAGACTGACTCCTTCCATGTGAGAGCATCAGAGGAGGATTTTAATGGGGCAAGTTAGAATTCATTATTATTATTTTAACACAATCGTCCTTGGGGAAGAAATTAATTCTTTAAAAATCAGTATCTGTGTGTATGAATGTATGTGTCTGTGTCTCTGTGTGTGCGTGTGTGTGTGTGTGTGTGTGTGTGTGTGTGTGTGTGTGTGTGTGTGTGTATACAGGGAGAGAACCAAAAGACAGATAAGGCTTCCTTGGGGGCCCTGGGAAAAACCAGTACTCACAGGTAGTGATGGATGGAGGGCCTCTTTCCATGCATATGTAAATAGATGACAATGTCTCCACTTAATGTAAAATTGTATTGCTCCATCTTAAAAAATGAAACTTAAAAAATGGATTGTGTTTGCATTTCTACTTATAAAAGTGAATGAGCTTCACAAATCCTTCCATTGATTCCTGTTTTAGTGCAAATTGCCATTCAAAGCCACAGCTACATTCCAAAGGGAAGAACTTTTAGATGCCTGGAGGCCCTGCCCTAGGGAAAAGGATTGCTTCATTAAGCAAATTCTCTTTTCTCATTGATAACCTTTATAAAATCTGGGGCATATTCTTCTGGGGTAGGGCTGGGAGGGGCACTAGGTTTGACCCCTGGAGATAATAAAAGCACACTTAAGAATGACATGTCTTTTGAACTCCCTTATGTTAAGTTTGATTAGAAAAAATACTTAAAATAGTAGCAACAATGCCATGATCTTCTCAAACTAAATGATAAAAATAATCATAGTATATATATTCATGTTATAATTTATGATACTGAAGCCCTTTGACCACATTCTCTCACTCAGTCCTCAAGATAGCCCTGTGAAGAAGATAACAGAAAATATTATTATTCCCATCTTATTGATGAAGAAACTGAGGTTCTAAGTCAAAACTGCAAACCTAGGTAAGGGCAGAGCTAGAATTCAAACTTGGGTTTCCTAACTCCTGTGATCATATTAAAGAGGAATTTTAAAACGTTAATACTAGTGAGGACCCCCCAGGATGCCACGTTTTCCTTACCACCCAAAGGCCCCGGCGTCTGATCAAAATTGTTACTTTCTCAAAAGGGGGAAAAAAAAGATCTCTGGACTATTGTTCCCATTCTGAATATGTCATATCCCTGAGGGGTCTGGTACCAATCTCTGAGAGTCCAGTTCCAGACACGTGCAGCAGGCTCTCAGTAAACGGAGACCTTGTCCACTTAATTACCAATGCCAGTGCCACCAGGATTGCCTTGCTGCCTCTTTGTTGACTATCCACAGCCATGAGCAGGCCAAGATCCAAGCTGTTACTTCATACCAAGGCCATCGTGGCTAAGCTATACATTTCCCTTTGCCTTGGTTTCCTCATCTGAAAAATGAATTTGTTGGACTAACCGGGCTCTAAGTTCCTTTCCAATTCTAAATCCGCTGCTTGACTCCAGGCCTAGCACTGTGTCCCCTAGGCCACTCAGCCACCCATGGGGAATTAAGGGATCCTGAAATCTTATACAGCAGAGCTCTTCCTTCTATCATGGCTGCCAGGGGACCTCCGCAGGGAGGAGCACACAAAAACAAAATCACTTCCCTCAACTCAAAGCCATTCTTTGAACTGAATGTTTATCTTATTATTTACTCACCAGGCACTAGAACAGGAGCCTCTCTGCAGCCACATCCTCTGCTTTTAGGGCCCCTCCCAGGGACCCAGGGACCCAGGGACCCAGGGACCCAGGGCAGGGAGGTTTGGAGATGAAACGTCACTTTTCCCTCTTGCCCTTTGGTTGGGAGTAGTTTACTTTTGGATGGTCCCAGTAAAACGCAGACTCCCTGAGGGCAGGGACTCTTTGATTTTTGATAGAATGGCTATTATACAAGAGCTGAGTTTTGGGTCTGATCCTAACTAGCTGTCCCTTCAAGTCCTTTAGCCTCAGTTTCTACATCTGTAAAATGGAGGCTATTGCCACAAGGCTCTAATGAGAGGTCACATTCAGTGAACTGCAAAGTTACCAGCATGATGGCAATGCCAGCTATCAGTATCACTGTCCCCATATAGCCAGAGCTTCACTCTGAGCACGCACTTTAATTGACAGGCTTTGGCTTGGACCGGAAGATTGTGGAAATGTTCTCCAGGCTGCCCGAATGCTGGACTTCTGGCAGCACTGCTTGCTGAACACCAACCTCCCCCTACCCCATCCCATCTCTAGGGAGTCAATGAAAAAAAATAAAACTCTGGGAACGAAAAGGCATCAGGAAAGCGTCACCCTTCATAACACTCTCCAACAGACCAAGAAAAGAAAATGTTATCGGTAGGAAACCATTTTACAGGAGTAGACAGCCACACATGTGGGCCCCATAGAGCCAGCCTTTAAAATGTAAGCAAACATTTTAATTAAGAAAGTCGGGGAGCTGGGGAGGGACGTGGTAAAGGAAAGATCTCTCATTCTCAGGTAAATATTGTTTTTTTTGTTGAGAATGCAAAGACTCGCCTGAAAATGGCACACAGTACAAAAAGGGAACCTCTATTTCAGGGAAAGGCACCAGGCTTTTGATAGGCTCGGGCCCACCAGTTCTCAAATATAGTCCTACATGCGGTGAGCAAGTTCTTCCTATAGACCCCAGTGGAACTAACCAAAGAATGCCCAGGAGCCAAGGAACAAGAAGCTTCCATGCTGGCCACACAGAGGCCCTGGGTCATTTGGAACACGCCGGCTGAACTGTTCCGGCCCCGAAACAAGAAGGATCACAGGAAGTGGTTAACGTAGGAAAGGCAGCTAGGACGTGGAATGCTGGCTTGTGGTATAGCACATTATAAAAATGAATTCCTAGGCCAACTTAATCAGAGATACCTATCAAAGCTAAATACCCTGGCCAGTCCACACATCCACTGTAAATCTAAGATGGTATCAAAGATTAGGCCAAGGATTTCGGGAAAGGTATTTCAGCTTTGCAGGCATGGAGGGCTGCATAAGGACATAGAAGCCACAAAAAAACAAGGTCTCACTCTGGGTTTTTGACAAAGGTTTTTTCAAAAGTCCCCCAAAGAGACAATTTGCCAAATCCTTTGGTAAAAAGACACGTGCGGATTCACTCCATGACTCAATGAGGAGACATTTATGAAAAAGTGCTTAGCACACCGTCATAGTAGGTACTTCATAAATGCTTGTCTCTTTCCCTCATTCTGTCCATTCTACAGACAAGGGATGAAGCCTCTGAAGGCCGAAGCATCTTTCATCTGGAATGAAGCTAGAGTCCTTGCTTTTGTCATTTGCTGTAGACAACCGGTCAAGAGAACCTCCACACTTAGCTAAGCTAGTCCCTGGAAAAGAGCCCTGTTGCTCTGAGTATACTCCAGCACGTCCAGCATGGAAGGACATGGCAAAGTTTCTATGGACTTTGAGAATGTAGGGTCACCTCCAGGACACAAGGAGGTACCAGGGGATGAGACTTGTGTCTCTCTCCTCAGCTTCACACAATCATGGAGATGCATGTGTATGTAAATACAGACTCTAATTTAATCCACTCCTTTTGTTTAAGGAGAAACCCTGGCCCACTTATATCAATTCAGACCTCAGCAATCCCCTGGCCTTGGAAACTTGTCTTGTCCTAGAAGAAAGTGCTGTTCCATGGTAGCTGGAGTGAAAGGGCCCAGCATGCTCGCAAGCACACACACACATACACAGACACACACTCACACACACAGACGCACACAGACACACACACACACACATGCCTAGGAACATGGAAAAGAGGCAAAACATGCATCAGGTCCCAACTCACTTCTTGCGGCATGTTTGCCCCTGTGTGCCATTCATTGGGAAAGGCTTCTGGAGAGAAAACAAATCTGTGCTCATAATGACATTTCCCTTTGGAGTCAAGGAAAAAAGTCGGGCATGGTAAGCACCCCTTTCAGCCTGACCTAGTGGCCAGAAGCCAACAGAATGGAAGAAAGAGGAAAGCTGGGACCAAAGGGGGGAAATGGTTTTTGGCATGAATATTTATGCTATTTTCCCCCTTTCCAAAAGGGGCTGTGCACCTGTTAATGTAGGAGTAAAATTGGTATGTGATAACAATTTATGGGGCTATGATTGCAAAGCCCCAGATTTATAAGCTGTGGTGATTGTCTTGTGTTCAACACAACCTTGTAAAACTAGGGCAAAGGAGGTTCACTTGCCGCTTGCCTGCTACTGGAGGCATTAGAGGCACTGAAAGGGGTGCATTTGGCCTGCCTTGCTAGAAAGCAGGCTTTGGGGAGGCCTACCAGTCTCAGAGACACGTTGGAGCGTCTGATCCGTGGCTGGGTGAGGGACTGTCGGGGCAGCAGGGGAAGAGTGGGTCCTGGAGATGAGGAAGTGTTGGTCAAAGGCTTCTGTGCCAATTGCAGCCAGCTGAGCTGGGTATGTTGGGAGCGCATGTCCAGGCTGAGGCTCCAGGAATGGCTGTTATCAAGAAAAAAGCAAAGGAGAGAGGGACAGGTCAATAAATTAAGTTCATTAGGTCAGTCATCATAAATGGCGTGAAGCAGGGGGAGAAAAGTAAAAGAAAACCAAGGCCTCCTCGATAAATTCATGCAGCAGATGTTTTTCCACTGACAGCCACGGTCGGCTTCCCCACCTGGTCCTGGCTGACGGCAGGAAGCCTGCCTGTCCAAACTGAAGGAAAGAAAACACCTTTCTCCTCAGAGGGAAAGACGTGACCAGGGCTTCTTTCATATCTGTAGAGCAACTCCTTGAACTCGCTCACTCGCTCAATCATCAATCGATCATCAAGAGTCTATTAAAAAGCTACTACGTTCTAGTGAAGTCAGCCCCGAGACTGTCGGCACAAGCAACGCTGGGACTCGCCTTCCTCCTTAAGATCACTGAAACTTCCAACTTCCAGTAAATTCCAGTCATAAAAACCAATAGAGTCAAGGCAATTTGGCCTCTTGTAGCTTGAAAAGGATGGTACGAAACCAGGGTTTTCTCCAACAGCTTCCTACAGTTACTATAGGATAACACTGTTCCTTCCTAATTTATGTTTTACTTACTTAGGGGTTTAGAAAGCCTACAAGCAAGAGTCCGGGGACAGCGCACAGGCCTTTCAGATGGCATCATGGATAGAAGAATGGACAAGCAGTGCTGCAGAATTCACAAGACATTCTAGTGAACAGAGAGGAGGGTTAGTGCAAGCAGCCCTGGACTTGTCGTTGAGAAGTTGGCGTGTTGCTCTTCAGTCACGTCCAACTCTTCATGATGCCACTTCTTGCCAGAGATACTGGAGAGGTATGCCATTTCCTTCTCCGGCTCATTTTACAGATGAGGAAACTGAGGCAAACAAGGTGAAGCGACTTGCCCAGCGTCACACAACTGAGGCTGAATTTGAACTCAGGTCTTCCTGACTGCATGCCCAGAGCTCTATCCAATGTGCCACCTAGCTGCCCTGTAGTTGAGAAAACCTGAGTTCAAATCCTGTTTCAGACACTTACATATTCTTGGCCAGGTTCTTATCTCTCTGATCCTCATTTTCCTCTCTGTAACACGGAGATAATAACAATAGCACCACCCAGAGTGACTGGGAAAGTCACATTACATCATCTATGTAAATTCCTTAGCAAACCTTAAAAAATGATACACAAAGGTTAGCTATCTTGCTAGTACTAGTGATAATGATGATGGTATTGGAAGTACAAAAGGACAGAAGATTTGTATCTGCATCATCAGAGAGTATAATCTTACCACTGAAACCCTAAAGTCATTCTTCAGGGCCTCATTTTCCTGAAGTTTAAAATAAAGGGGTTAGGCTGCCTGAATTCTGAAGCTCCTTCCTATGCTGGATCTGTGGGTCTGGGCTCTATTGATCCCCAGATCTATAAAGTCGATAGTCAATAATGAATAGACATTTATTAATAAATATTAAAAGAAGTGTGTATAGCAACATTTTCTAAGTATTTTCAACTATGTTATCCATTTCTCAAAATGTTCAGGTTACATAATAATAATAATAATAATAATAATAATAATAATAATAATAATAATAATTGTAATAACAGCTAACACCTGAATGTTTACAACATTATTTAAAGTTTACAAAAGTTTCATCTGAGTCTTTGCAACAACCCTGTGAAACAGGTGAGATATTATCACCATTTTACAGAGGAGGAAACTGAGGTGAGGAATAAAGGATCACAGAGCTGAAAAAATCCCTGAGGGGGTCATCACATCCAGTCCCTGTCCTTCAGGAAGGTTGCATATCAAACACAGATGGGCAGCTCTCTGGAGAGATTCCCAACTGCCAAATTTTTACAACCTAAAACTCCAGGAAATTCTTCATTTTGAATGGAATCTCTCATGCTTCATTTTAAGCCCCTTTTGTGTTGACGCATTCTTAGTGGAGAGAGAGGACAGCTGCGTAGAGTGCATAGCCGAATAATCCTTCACTGGTTTTTATGGGAGAGCTAGGTGACCATTATTAGCATCTGCCTCTCGAGGATGGGAGACCTCAGTGGGTGAAGGTGCGCAGCTCAGCCCAATACAAGCAAGCTTCTGAATCGAAGCTACTGTGCTGATGAGAATACAGGAGAGTGATCAATGCTCTCTCTGTATCATATGTGTGTTTCAGTGTGACACATACACAAAACACATGAGCTTCTGTAAATACCTGCCATGGCTTGGGTTTTGTTACATACTAAAAACAGCGAAAATACAAAAGTGCCACTGTATATTATCTCACATGAGCCTTGCAATAATCCCAGGAGGGGGAAGCTGCGCATGGTATTATCTGCACTTATAGATGAGGAAATTGAGACCCAGAGAGATTGTATGGTTTGGACAGCATCACACATCTGGAAAGGTGCTCAGGGGAAGACCTGAATTCAGATCGTTCTAACCCTATAATTCACCCCCCAAACCCACTACACCATCCTCTCCTTCCAAATGGCCTTTCTCCAGGAGCATTTGGTCTATTTGGGGGGATAAGATGCACACATAACTAAGGCACAATAAAATGTATGACACAACATACTAAACTGTGAAAGACAAAAAATTAGTAGGGAAAAGCAGGAAGGGAAGGGGAAAGGGAAAGGGGAATTATATATATATGTTCCTTTTAAAAATAATAAATCCTTAGTTAAATAATTATTCTCAGAAAAGCACTGTTGGCGTTTCTGCACTTACAAATGATGCCTCCTTATAAATCCACACATACAATTGCTTATTAACAATTTAATTTCCATGTTCATTATCATTAATAACCAGATAGTTATTACATGTGTGTGATGCACACATGCATGCACATATGGGTGGTAGGATATGTCAGCTAGGGGCTAGCGATGCATCCTCAAGCATGGTGGGAAAATCTTGAGGGTCAAAGCTCAGCTTACACTTGTGTGCGCTAACTGCCCCTGAACAAGGCAGAAAATCTCGAGTTAGTAGAATAAGAAAGGATTTGAAAGTTCACAGAGCACTTTCTGCCCATTATTGAACATCACCTGGACAAAAGCATGAAGAGAGAAGATGCATAGGCACTGGTGCCTCTGTTTTAGGAATCACAGAACTGAAATTCCTAGAGTTTAAATGACTTGCCCAAGTCACCCAGCCAGGAGGTGTAAAGGGCAGGATTTGAAACCAGGTCTTTCTGACTGTGACTGGCTCTCTACCTAGTATGCCTCACCTTACATAGAAAGTGCTTTCAAGTTGGTCAAAACCCTTTTTATAGCTCATCTTTTTGTTGAGCCTCAGAACAACCTATAAAGTCTATATTGGAGACATTAGTATCCCCATTTCACAAAGGAGGAAATAGAGGCTCAGATTAGGTAAGTAACTAGTCCAGGACCGCATAGTTGATAGAGCTCAGAGGTAGGATCCAAATCCAGGTCCTCTTGGGGCAGCTAGGTGGCACAGTTGATAGAGCAGCAGGTCTGGAGTCAGGAAGATCTGAGTTCAAATCCAGCCTTACACATGTACTAGCTGTATTACCCTGGGCAAGTCATTTAACTTTTGTCTGCCTCAATTTCCTCAATAACTAAATAGGGACCATAACAGTACCTACTTCGCAGGGCCATTGTGAGGCCCGGATGAGATAATAATTGTAAAGCCCTCAGTGCAGTGTCTGGTTAGCTACTGTGAGCTATCATTACTTCTTCACACCAAGGCCAGCATCCCACTACCCTTAGGTCACAAAGATCTGTTTACCATGTTAGCTACCACCGATGATGGGGACTTTAGAACAGGACTAGAGGAAAAAGGAGCCTTTTTCTGGTGACTCATCAGTAAGCAGTGAAGTCTCTGATTTCCCATTCCCACTGGCAGGCGGCAAGTCAAGGGACAATGTCCAGCCTTTTATCCTACTTGGCTGCCGCAGGCTAGGGCTGCCTCCGAGTCATCACCCAGATGGGCTGAAAGAGCTCCTGGGCTTTTCCAAAGGTCCAAAGGGGAGAATGTGTTTTTGTCAATCTACCCTCCCAAGGGGCTCCTGGGTAACTGGTTTCCCATATGAGAAGTGGTGCACGATCCCAAGGGAAGCCTCCATTATATCATTATTCCCACCAGCAACAAAAACACCAGCTGGTTCCCCTCCTCCAAATTTTTTTTTAAACTTCTTAAGCTCAACTAGTTTGAATCATCTCTCAGAGCCCAGACCTCAGAGAACACTGATTTGAACCTCGGTGGTTCCTGCTCCCCTGTACTGCAAAGAATGGGAACTCAGTGGCCTGAAAGCTTTCAATGAAAGGTGGGATCTGTCCTCTTGGTGCATAGCCAACCCTTCCTTATTCCAAACATGCAGCCTTATTTTCCATATATGCTAATTAATATGCCCCAGAAACATAAAGCCAAGGTAAGTCTTTATATGCATAAGCCTATCTTACTCTCAAAATATGAGGAATTCATAAACAACATGAGACGCTCTTTGACCCAACAACTGAATGTAATACGCATATGAAAACTACAAAATTGTCTATTAAGTGTGGCCTCCCCCCCCAAAAAAAAAAACACTGATGTAGTCACCAGGACTTGGCTTCCAGTAAGTCTGTTTATTTACACATCCAGTAAGAGTGATCAGGGTGGGGAGGTGTCCAGTGCCTACATGGGCTGGAAAGAAGACTTGAGGGCTCCTTCTGATTCCAACTCAATGAATGACACAGTGGGCAGTGGGGAGCCTTGTAAACACCCTCCTTCAACTGCAGGCTACAAATGATGCTTTGATAACTGCCCCTTGGAAAACACATCAATAACTTTTAAAATACTTAGAGATATCATCATGTGGGAGATACCAAGGAAAACAAAGTGATATGGCCATAGCAAAATCATGGCTTAAAAATATTCAACCAAAATAGTTATTAAGATAGAATACTAATGTGCTGTAAGAAATGAAGAGCAGGATGGTTTCAGGAAAACCTGGGAAGACTTTTAAGAACGGATGCAAAGTGAAATGAATGCAGCAGGAGAACATTGTACATAGT